ATACTGTATATATAAAGTCACTGATGAAGAAATTAAGAAACTAATTAAGTTCTTTTTTCTACTGAAGTGATAAAAAAAGAAATGTACGAAAGTCTTGCATGATGATCTGCAGATTTCACATTTGTTTCCTTCTACGACCACTTTTAGCTGTGCTTGAGTATTTACAGTATTTTTATCTGTAAGGCTAATGATTCGTTGTACTTTTAATAAAAAAAAAAACATCTGCTAACTCCTTAAAAATGTGAACTGATGTCCTTAAAACACAACAAAAGTTAATAAAACTTCTTTGCTTCTCACCAGGCTGACACCTAAACCCATGACTCTGATCGGACACTTCTTTGCCGTGGCGCTGTACGCAATCTACTTCAAATTCAAGTCCGAGTCCTGGAGCACCAAACCCAGAGCTCTGTATAAAAGTGGAGCCATCTTGTACCGGGCCTGCCGGGTCATTTTCCCGCTYGTTTACTCTGAACTCAAATACCTGGTGTACTAGGTGGCGCCACASCTGGGAGTAAAAAAACTAAACGGGGCAGGATCCTAGCAGGAAATGAAATATTTCCACCAACATGTTGATGCTGAGGACTGCAGCTCTGATGGCTCTTCTCAGATCACTGTTTTCAGCAGCATCGTTCATGAACTGTAAAACATGACTGGACATGTTTTMATATGGACAAACGGTGCCTTTTTCTGCTAAATGTTTGGATTAGAAATCAGCTGGAACAGTTTTACATCTCTGTTTATTTTACTGCACAAATTTAGGATTTTGTGTTGAGGAAAGCCTAATTTTAAATTTAAAGCTGAGACGTGTTTTTTCAATACTGTATTGTTTTTAAAGGTAAATATTCAGGGTAATAAGAATTCTTTTTTGCTGAGCAAAATATGTGCATTACTGTTTATGAAAAAAATTTTTTTTGTGTGTGTTCTTTAAAGCATTTTGTCKTTATCCTGCTGTTTGTCAGTTGATGCAGTGAGTTCTTTATGAGGAACAGAAAGCCTCTGGATTAATCCACAGGTGGTTTTTTTTCTGTTCTGGTATTTACCTGCGGTGACACTGATGAACAGTTCAAATAAACCAAGGTTTTATGAAACTAATCAACCGTAAAGTCATCGTATTGATCTGTTACAGATAAAATGTAATATACAGATCAGATTTACTGCCATGACTGAAACAATTTCTTGAAGAAATGCTCATCACCTGCTGCCTTTCAGGATTCTGTAAAACGTCCACAGTCTCACACACAAGATGTCAGTTTAGGTTGTGTCTCGCAGCTACCACCACCTAAAAACTGAGTTATGAACATTTTGTGTTGCTTTAAAGATCATTTGTCTGTGGCAGCCATCTTGAACTGGGTTGACTTTAATCATTAAATCAGATGTCTAATGATTACTTTCTARARGTTTTATTCAAATAAGACCAGAGATTCACTGGATATTATGCGAACATATTGTGAAATATTTCATTATGAAACTCCCTTTTTTAAACCTGGAGCAGATTCAGTWTGAGCCAGAGGCTGTCGAGCTGTTTCTGACTGAATCAGATGAGAAAGTAGTAAAGCAGCTTTGATTCGGGAGTCAAAACATGAATTAAACACAACCAGCAGATGGCGCTCACTCACAGCTGGAGGATTGCAGCTGTAGGCAGACGCCCACCCAGTGGGCTTCAATTGAAATTAACATGTTTATGTAAAATTTTGACTTTTAAAGAATAATAATAATAAACAAAAGTTATTTTCTTTTATTTTTTTTCCAGTTCATGATACAGGAAGTATAAATTTGGCCTATGACCACAGCTGGGTTTCTACTCCTTAAAATTAAACCCTAAAACCTACAAAGACATGACAGCAACAATCAGGTGGGTCTGTGGTTCTTACAGCCACATGATGTCAGCTCCATAAAGCTCTGCAGACTGAAGGGTTGCAGAGCAGACACACGGTGCTCAGACTTGTGGTTCTCTTCATATAAACTCCTGACTTTACATCACGCTGCTCAAAACCACTTCACAGTACTCTAAAGCAGGGGCCACTTGTAATGAACCTTTACGTTTCATGTTTAACTTTGACTAAACACAGTTTTTAACAAGTCCTCTTTTAAACATTGATAAGAACTAAGTGTATGACTGACTAAATCTGTAATAAATACAGAAATATTATTAAAAAACAAAGTTTTACTCACTGATGAGTTTCTACTGAGTGCTGCATTATGGCAGATGTAGTTTATGTTTGATGGTGACTTTAAAGCAGCTTATTTTCAGACATTAGTACTGTGCTATCCAACTAAATTGCTGTTACTTCAAGCCAACAGCTCAGGAACAGGAATTTATTACATTTATTATTATTAAATTAATTTTGTTGCATTTAACCATAAATTTAAAGTTTACCATTGATATAAGAAACAAATTTCATGTTAAATTTAAAAAAAAAAAATTGGGTGGGGGTACCCTCCCTGGCGGGCCACACAGGAGTCACCAGCGGGCCTTGTGTTTGACACATGTGCTCTAAAGRGACTGAACTTAAAGCCATTTTTGTGTTTAAGGACAGTAGGCTGTGGCAGCCATATTGAACTGTATTTAGACTCTAGATGYACCACTGTCAGCCTTGGCCAGGATTCCCTTGCAAGAGTTTYAACCTGAATGGGAKTTTCCWGGTGAAATAAAGATTTAACAACAATAAAAAAAGTACATTTTGATTACTTCTAATAAGTTTCATTAAAATCTATCCAGTGGTTCGAGAGATATTTTGCTAGCAGACACAAGAGTAAAACCATTAAAGAAAGTGCAGAAACAAGCAAAGCACCGAAGTTCAGGAAAATCTCAAGTTTCAACGACTGTAAATTTATTGGTATTTATACATCACTGTTACATTGCTCTGGTGATGTTATCGGAAGGGTTATCCATTTATACTCTGTGATTTTCCACATGGACACAAACACTGGTGTGGAAGACCAGAGCAGAGGGACTCCACAAGGGAAGGTGACGTACTGAACACACGGCTCTAACCTGCGTGATGGTCGTCTGATCGTCCGCCGAACCRTCACACCTGCTCTGTTTGACCACATCCTTCTTCCTCACAGTAATCCTCCTCATCGGAGCATAAAAGAATATTCCTGTCGATATTTGTAGCAGCAAGCTTTCTACTAACAGTTAACAGTTATCATGAAAAAAAAAATAGTACTGTACAGCTACTACTAAGAAAATCTAAGAACCTGGCCTTGATGCTTTCACATCAGAATAAAGTGGCAGAAGCAATCCCATCAACCCACACTATATATATATTATATGAATAATATATATATGTATAATATATATATATATTATATGTATAATATATATATATATGTATAGAGCATTGTGTATTTATATATATTTATATATATATATATATAGGAACAAATCTATTTTAACATTAATTTACAGGGTAATATACATTTTAGTCACAGCTGAAATCTCAGCACAAATATCACTGTCACACTCAACAGCAAATTATATATATTTATATACGTATATATGATCATATAAACCCATATATAATCATATATACCCAATACAGAGTTGTCATATATGCATGTGAAACAGTTAACCACACCCCAGGCTTTTCCAACGAGACCCAGAGAAGCAATTGTTTATCAAGACATAAAAGCTTTACAAGTTTCTCTCCTTAAAGAGCGACAGGCGGCGGCCAAAGTGCCACGACCTGTGGGTTATTTGAGGTCACAGAACAGTTATTTGCATATTTCACGAATCTATTGCAACACGTTACTGTCTACGAACAGTAGAACCGGCGTCCGGACGAGAGGAGCCGGTCCGAGCTGGACTCACACGTACACCCACTGAACAGAACGATACGACGATGGGTGATCCGGTTATAGCTATGTGCTTTCTGGCGGTGTGCTGTGACAGAACGACAGGAGGACTACGACACACAATACTGAAAGAAGTTGACCCTCGGTGGAGAAACCCCAGCAGACGGGACTGGAAAGACTAACCCCCCCCCTGCCCTCCCCCACTACAAACAGCAAAGATTCTGTTTTGTCCTCTGGTTTTAGGGTCACGTCTTGTTGCCGGTGTGTTTGATTCTCACCACAGATCACTTTGATTTTGACACTCCACAATCAAGAGTAATGGAATGTGTTCAGCTCCTGCCCTCTAATCAGGTCTCTCTGTCAAAGCTGACGGTGCTGGAACAACCTACTGAATGAACGAAGAACGAGGAGGGGGCAGGGGTCTGAGAGGGTGCAGGTGGTGGGGGACTCCTTGAGATTGTTGCGATGCATTTTTCAGAACCAGCAGGGGTTGTGGTCTCTTCCCACGTCAGTCCCAAACCTCAGCCACCTGTAGAGAGATGAATGAACCCCTCTGCAACGCCCTGTGGTCCCCCACCCTGATGACACCCCCCACTGATTTCTCCTTAACCCCTCCCACCCCCCTCCCTACACTGCAAAGACGCTGCACAAGGCTGTAACAAGATACACACAAAGTTAACTTTTCACAAAGAGAAAACAAAGCTCCGTATTAACTGCAGTAGTAACGCACAACAAGCATCCGATAGCTGGCTGCCAGACGGGGAGCCCTGGACATGTGCAGTTAGGTTTGGGACGTTGCCATTGTTCTAAAGGAGGAGGACTCCCAGGTGTTGCCCTTTGAAGGACTTGTTTTTAATTTTCTCCCTGTGTTGGACCGACGTGTTATTCAAAAGCCCAGATCTCTATGTCCTGCACGTAGAAGTCCTCCTTTTTCGAAAGCATTGGGTTTCCAAATGTTTTACAGGAGTGACTCCGTCCGTGGTAAAGATCTCCGTCCAGCCACAGGCCAAACTCCCCGCTGCAAGAGAACACAACACACAGCTCTTTACTGGTTTACAGGACACTGCAATTAGGCAAGAAATAAAAGTTAGCACTGTTGTACAGCAAGCTAGTTGTCAAACACCTGCATCTGATCTCATGTCCTCAAACAACATTTTCAATATTTTAAATACAGCAGCAGCTCAAGAAGAGTAGAATGTACAAAGACAGACAGAGAGACAGGTGTCTACAATGTTTAAGGACATTTTAGACTTATAGTTGGGCCCATGTTTTACTGACGCTACGTTGGACYGGTGTCATACTGAATTCTGTTTCCCCACTGAGATCACAGCTCGTTTTGTACCCTCCATCATTTCCTCTCAATCTCTGTGGTGTGAAGCCAATCATTTCATGTATCCATTCATTCATTGTTCATGTGTGCACATGGAGAACATGCTAACTGCACACAGAAAGATGAGTCGCTCCTGCAGCTTTCCTGTTGAGGCTCTAACCACTGTGCCGCTATTTGTTTTACACTTTTATATTTTAATTAAAATGCTAAAAGAAAAGATTAATCTCTTTTCTGAGCCTCTTAATACATTACAGCCTGAAACACAACATGAAAGACTTGAAATCTAAACTTAGGTGGGGGCACAGGTTTTGACACAACAGAGTGGGAAACTGCAGGTTTACCACGTCCATTTGTCTTCTGACTGTTTTATACACATTTTATTCTGTAAATACTAATGTTAATATAAATGAATTAAATTTACAAGAATATTATTTTAGTGGAAGCCCTTAATCCAAATGTTTTACCACCTAATGGTGATATATGAAAACATTTTCTGATTCTTCTTAGCTATAGTGTTTTAATATAAGTAGTACTCTGTTTATCATTGAAATAGCTTATCAGCTTATCTTGAGTGTTTCCCCTGTCCCTTCAAATGTCCTTGACACTTGCCAGGCAAACACTGTAAATAACAATTTGTTCTTAATGTTCTGTCTGGTTAAATAAAGGCCAAATAAAAATAAATATTCATCAACAGTCATAATTGTTGATTTCTAACGTACCTTCCTCCACCAAAAGCTAAGGAGTCCATGTCTCCTTTGATGAAAAACATGTTGTCACCTGTCCATTTGTAAACCTGTTAGGAACACAGCACAACAATGAACTGACTGCACTTAATATTCTCTTATTTTCTCAAACGTCAGCCTCAGAGAAGAGACAAACGTCCCTACAACACAAACAKGCTGTAATGAACCCTTTGAAGAGAAGTGCACAACTTAATAATAATAATATAGTACTTTACAGAGAATGACTAGCACATAATCTAATGAAGACAGGAATATCTACAACAAGCTAAGTTTCTGTCCTGGTTTTAGATGCAACAACTAAAACAAATCATTTAACACAACCTCAGGCCTGGAATACTGGCTGCAAAGAGTAAATTAACTTAAATAAGACTATGTATAGGGTTTCCTAAACTCAGATTTCGAAAATCTCGTTTTTTTATTTGTTCATCTGGGACTTTGGGAACAGAACCATCTGCTTATTCTGACAGGACTAAAACTGTYCCCTGCATTAACAGTGATGATAAACAAACTGGATTCATTCAAACTTTGATTGCTAAAACATTTATGATCTTTACAAGACATAAAAACATCTGTGTGGATAAATAAAACAAACACGAGTAAAGAGACAAACAATACTTAACTACCGTTTAAAGCTGTTTATAGCTACCTACCAAGAAAACTGATCTCTTCGTATTTTTGTGTCCACTTTCTAATGTCTCTGCTGACTGTTGCTGTTTTACAAACACATTAAACTACAGATTTGTGAATATTGTCAGAAAAAATCAATCACATTATGTACACTAAAAGGGCTAAAAAGATTCATCAAATCACTCAAATAAGTTGTTTGATTTGATGCTTTGTTTATTCCATGAGAAACGTTTTGCTCTGTGCTGACTAAGCTTCATGTGGACTGTTGTTATAGTCAGACATGTTTATGCTGCTTTGAATGAAATGAAAAAAAAAGGAAAAAGCACATCAAAAGTTCAAATGGGTGCAAGCTAGGAGATTTTAAGTTAAATGTTAGAAAACAACAGATTATGGTTAATTGATGGTACATTTGACATTTTCCTTGACTCCTAAACTAATCAGGAGCTGCAGCCCTCTACACCAGTTCTCCTGGATGTCCTCTCATCATGAGGGGCTGCAGAAACTGAACATTATKCTTTATAAAACTTAAAGTGATGTACCTGAAACTCTGGATTGAAGGTGAAGAGAAACGTCTCTCCTGTGCCATAAAAGCCTTCGCTAACCTTAAAGGGTTCAGATGCCAGCGCACCAAACACCTGAGTGAACAAACCAACAAAGAGCAGGGGGGGTTAAAAACTGGTCCACAGCAGTGGGATTCAGTTACACCTGCAGTTTACCTGTCCATCACTGTCCTTAATGACCAGGAGGACTGGGGTGTCCTGGCCCTGCATGGCCCTATACAGCGTCTTAATGCTCATGCCATGCTTTGATGTGCCAAAGGCCAGCGCCCAGGGGTACCCGATGGTCCGTGGTGGGAGATGCCTAGCAAGCTGTGGAAGGAAGAAAAAGAAAAAGAAGTAGATAAGGAGCAACGAAATTGAAACACTGAAAGGCCACAGCCGCCGATGCTCAATTACATCTGCAGTGACATTTTAACACTGGCTGGTGTTTAAAGTACAGTAACGGGGCTGGAAACATCGAGATCGGCCTCTAGAGAAAGAGAGGTCCGGCACTTTCTAAGAGAGCCTGCTTGGCCCCACTGCCGACAGGATTAACGGAGGCTGTGGCGCAGAGGGAGATAAGACCAACAAAGGCTTTGGAGCAGCAGCAGAGCACGTTTCATTTTTAACAGGCTAATACAAAAGATGCTGAAAAACATTCAAACAGTGCAATATCTTTCTACAGTAAGCTGCATTAGTTTTGTTCACTCTCCAGTGACTCATCAGTCCTTTTGTTGTTTTCTTGTTGGCTCAGCACATGCCTCAGAGTTGGAGCGGAAGCAGGAGTGCAGTCAGGAGGAGGAAAATGAAATCATGAGGTGAGGGCCAAACCTGCCTCTCCTCTGAAGCTCAGTCCTCAGGGGAATGAAAGAAAGCTGCAACCTGGCAGGTTACCGGTCAGTAAGAGCGATTAACAGCTGTACCTTTGTGACTGGGACCATTTTCACCTGCAGAAGCKTTCCATGTGTCATCTTTTCAATGAATAATTCCAAATTACTTGTGACATTCTTAAAATACACAGAAAACGTTTCACCATAAAAAACAACAGTATTCATGTTTTCACCTAGCCTGGCCCTTGCCCTCCTACGCAGTTCCACTCAATTCTAGTTTCCCATCACTGCTCTGTCTGGGATTTCTCCCATAGACAAGGATTTCTTCGGAAAATTTTCGTCCGGGCCAATCAGAGAACAGAACGTCAATTTTCTGYGCAGTGTCTGCTATTTATTTTAGCAGTGGAGGAAGTGAATGAAGCCAGTCCGTGKTGATAAGGCTTCCAAATTAAAATAAATCTGTCTGACAAAGCAGCAGCTCTCATTTACAGTTGTCTCGTTTGGCTCAGTACTTCTCTCCTCTCAGTAGGGTTGTTTACAGCGCACACGATTTCCGGTTAGCTTCCTAGCTTAGCCTCCTTCACAGCGACATGCGTCGTGGCCAACCGATCCAATCATTTCAAACTTCAGCAGAGGCCACGCCTCCAGCAAGAATCACTTCTCTATAGCCACGAGTCCAGACCCTCGTACGAAGCAAAGTGAAGGACAAAGGGTCTGGTTTTTACCAGGCTAGTTTTCACCTAAAGTCTGGACATTACTTAGTTAACAATATTAGTTGAGATGACAGTAATTATACTGTAGCCTACGTTAATAACATCACATACTAAAAAGCTACCATAGCCAATCAGTACTATGTTTCCTGTAAAAGAACATGAACTTAATAATACCAGAAWGCTAGCATTTTTACAAGAACAGATGAAAATCTGAGAAAGATCATCTTTTAATCAGTAGATCAGTGATTTATGATGCTTTCCTCAAATTACCCGAGTTTTCYCCGTTTCCATGTGTTTCCTAAATGTCCACACCTGGGTGAAATGCATGCCGATGATACTGCAGGTGTAATTGTTTCTGCAGATTTCAGGTACTGAGCCACCTAACAACAGTTAATGAGTAGCTACACAAGAGTTACAGCAGAGACAGGTGCCTTCTGTATTCCCAGGGCACGCCTACGAAAAACAATTCTGAAAGTAAACTTCGCGACTGATTTCCATACGTGATGTTTGACAGTAAAATGACCAGCAGCTCCTCTGATTTTGCATGTTTTCCTACCAGATGTATCACAAGATACATCCACCTACAATATGCAGAAATAAGCTTTGTTGTTTAACTTTTACATCTTTACAGTACAGTTTCAGCAAAGGCTCTGAATCGTTTCAGCTAGAATTCACACAATGAACAACAACACTGATGGGACCATTATTAGCAGTGGATTAATTTACATTTTATATATTCACAGCAACAAGAGAAAATATACTTAAATAAACAAACAATGCTTTTGCTGTATTAAAGGAATAAAGACCAACAATGTGGCTCATGGGTGCATTTCACCTGTGTTTCATCGACAGGGACAAGCAGTACCTGGGAAATATTTTCTAATAAAAGCTGTAGTTTATGACASGTTCTGACCTTTTGGGGACACTTGTTAGAGACAAGCGTTTAGCGTGTCTTGGCCCATTGTTATTAACTTGTATCTTGTACATTTGGGATGCATTACAGAGAGCAGGTTTGTGCAGAAAGCTTTACCTTTTCTATCTGCTCGGCCTCCAGGAGCTCACTGGGTTCTCTGAGGTTGGGTTTGAACGTCTCAGGCTCCAGCTCAGTTTTGATGGACGTGCCATGCTTGGAGTTCACCTCTTCTTTGGTGGTAATCTACAAGAGCAAACAGTGTGTTAGTGATGCATATAAACTGACAGGCAGAAGCTTAACTTCCTGATGCTGAATGGGTTCAGTTGCAGCTACTGTCACAACTTGTTTATTTATTCACATTATCTATTATATACAGCTCAACCTATTTACATACAGCTATAACCAGCAAAGAGTGGCTAAAAGCTAAAGCAGATAAAGAAACTCTGAAATGGTGTACTGTTCTATCACGAACAAGGCTTAAACCATAGCCCAACTTCAGCAACAGTAAGTCAAAGTAAAAAAAAAAAAAATTTTTATCTTTTTGGGAACTTTGAATCTAGTTGTACTGCCAAAATTTATAGATATAGTGTTTACTAGCAACACAASACAATCCAAAAATCTGAGGAGGACAGCTGAATATCTTTCTGCCGCTCTCTAACGCCAGATGATCAGGAYTGGTTTGGCAGAGCTTGGAGAGCAACTAGAGATGCTGTCTGGGAGATGAGAATGCAAAGTGAATAGGAAATGAACCCAATGAATAATTTGCACTTTGCTGTTTGACATTTTCTCTGACCGACCGACTGCTGTGGATGATCTATCTTTTTCGATAACAGAAGCTGATTGTGGCGCACTTTGCCACTGGTGGCTGGGAGGCTCTCATGTTTCAGCCTACCTGCATTGTTCTTGGACAACATCATTCATCTTGTAAGGGGAGTCCTGTGCCACACTCCCACCACCCMCCACAAAACTCTCATCGTCCTGCCAGTCCTTCTGCAGGCCACATTTCCAACATTCACRGAGGGAACCTCTTACTGAAAAACCCACTCTTTGTCCTGTGTGCAACCTACACTGCTGTGTACATCAACCCGAACAGCTAGCACTGGCTACCTGCAACTCAGACTGATTTAGAGGACTGAAATGCTACATGTCTAWTACGAGTGTAAAAGGGAAAGCCTGACACATGAAGATAAGGCTGAAGTCACGTGAAAACCTCCTTGCTCCAAGCAAGACAACATATCTGTAGTAAAATGATAAAACATGTTTTTGAGTCAAATGCAATGACTTGATCTGGTCTTGCGACCTTGAATGAATTTGATGATCTCAAACTACTCAACCTTAGGTGTTCATTTAAAGCAGAAGGTAATTCTTATGGTAATTTGCAACTTCAGTAGCAACAGAAGCCTGAAGCAGGCATCCTAAAGGAGCGTGCCGGTGCTGACTGTAGGAGTCCTGGGCAGAGAAGAGAGGGAGGGAAACAGGGCTGGTTGGGGCACCTGGAGTCGTTTGCAGAGTGAGCGCAGATCTTCACTGTTTAGCGCATCAATCCGACGGTGGTACTCCGTCAGAGACACTACCTGGCAGTACAAACACAGGAACAAGTGGAACATAAAACTTGACTGCTTTTATTTCTGGCCTTGGGGAGGAAAGGATAAGTTCTGAAAGAGTAAACCAAGTAAAGCGATTCCTGCACCTACTTTTACAATGAGGAAAAGTTTGAATAAACACATTACACTGACAGAAGGCCAGTGTTTAATGTTTAGTTTAGATAAAAGGAGGAGAAAAGGGGGCATTTTAGATCACTTAGTCATTTTGCATGTTTGTGTAATGTGGTAAACATCGCTACAAAGTCCGCTACTAAAATCATCGCCGATGAGAAAATGCAAAAGGGACCCTGCCGAGAGCATGAGAAGAGTCTTCATTAACACACAACAGCTGAGGTCTGTCTAATTCAACAAAACTTGCCCAGGTTGTTTGTCAGCATCACTGCTGAGCTACAATCCAGACAGACCCACAGAGCATGGCTTTGTTCCAGCAAACACCAACCTACTGCTTCTTACTTCCAGGATCATCTCCTGCCTGTGCTTTTCAACCAAGTGAATAAATGAAAGATACTAAAAGCAATGTGAAAGAAATAGACACAGCTGTCAAAAACAGACAATAATCTAACTACTAATAAMAACTGATTTTAACAATATAACATTCTGCTAGCGTATGAGTGCATACATTTTCTGGTTAAGCTGACCATGCATGTTACAACTAAAACAAATAAAAAACATGCTTGTGCTTCTCATCTACTTTGCCTAATTTGATTATTAACTATTTATAAAGCAACCTAGCTAGCTTTCAGAAATTGCTAATAGTTCTTATTAAACGCGGGTGATCAACAAAGAAAGCAAACACTTATTTAATAATTTAATCTTCTGTAATAAAAGCAAAAATTAGCCAAGTGTAAGCCTCTCCACCAACCGAAGATTCAAAATGTGTTGTAGTMTAACAAAGTTGTATGTTACTCAAGGTGACAGTGCCTCTGAAAACTTTTTACTTGGCTTAAACCGTGCAAAGACGACCACTAGACAGTCTAACATTATAGTATATTATCAACACGACTAACTATAAACAACAAAAGTCAACCAAACCAGTAAAACAATTAGCCGGCGAACAACAGGCTTTGATAGCAAGTTAGCATAGCATGCTAACAACTGTCCTATAGAAACAAGTTACATTCAGAGAACATGACATACACAGGTGTACTTAGGGGTCTGCCGCTTGTCCTGGTCCTTCACCCTCCTAGAAAACATTTCCTGCCCACTGGACGAGCTTAAAGGTAAAAGTCACATTACGGACACTTTAAGTTTTCCGCGCGTCACAAACACACTGGGAGTTCGGCGTAAATCCTGGGCGACAGCCGGACCAAAATAGAACATTTCTTTTTCTCAAAGGGTCTCTGCGCTGCGTGACATCGCAGTTGTCCAATGAGGACACGTGATGRGACAGCTACTGAAATCCCATTGGATAAAACGACATTAATGATCCYGCCTCCTACCCGACAGAATTTAAAGAGGCAGTAACAGCATTACTCCTGAAACTATTTTTTGAAATGTATATTTAGTTTTTCTCATGTGACATAAATAGCCGTCCCTACATTAAATATGATAAAGTTTCTCTGACATATTATTTGTAAAAAATAATAATAATAAAATAAACAAATAAACTTTATAAAACACTAATAAAAATGTTCACCTGTGGCAAAAACCTCATAATCAAGGCTCCTATTTACTTAATCTGATGTCATGGATCATGTTGCTGCTGTTATCCAGAGGTCAGCAGACAAACAAATCAGTCCACTTTGTTTCCTACATCATTCATTCACATTAAAGTTTAAAGCACAGCCTCCATCGTATCAATTTCTCTCCACAATGAACACATCCTTTTCATTAATCACAGGGTTTTGTTTGACTACCGTAGATCTCATCCACTTTTTACAAAGCTGCATCAAAAGATTAGAATATCTAGATGTGCAGACAACCTTCATCTATGATTTTTCTCTCTTTCTTTAAATTTAGAAAATCTACAAAAAAATAATAAAAAACAGAAATTGATGTCACCCATTGATGTCACTTGTTTTGGGGGGAGATTTTTGTAACCAAAAAAATAATGAACATATAGTGATATTTTTCATTTGCCATTCAGAAAATGAATTTGACAAATGCTAACCAACACTAGTGCCACTCACACAACATATAAWGAAAAACTGCCATTCGATGGCTGAGAAGAATTAAAAAATTACACAAACATGCAAAACACTTTGGTTGGAAGTTCAGAARAGCACAATTCCAAGCAAAGCAAGTGGGACACATCTTACACAAAATTTGCAGTGTGACAGAAAATTGACACAAAAATTTACAATTAAACCAAAAAAATATGCAGTGGTGCAACAAAAGGGATAAATACAGACRTTTAATACAAAACTAAGGCTTGCCAACTACACAATTTAAATGGTGTACAAATAAGATCTACACAACACGTTCACAATATGCACAGCATAATGAAAGCAAATCAATTATTTATCATTTACCATACCACTAATTAAACCAAACTCTAGCAAAAAAACTTGTGTTTTCACAGGTTATGGATTAAACCACAGTCAAAGACTGACCTTAATCCATATCTKTGAGGTCTGATACGACAAACAAAGACACTTCTGACAAGGTGAGGGCACTTATTTTCCTAGACCTTACCTCCCATTCTTTGACATTGAGCTCAGTGATGGGCTCATCATCAGATGTTTCTGATACTACGTTTTTTTTGATAACCATGAACCCTGGTTCTTGATCCATCCCTCTGACCCCCTCGCCGTACATGTCYGGGCTCCACTGCTTGAAAAATACATACAGGTGGTTTGATCTGGGAAGGAGAAACAGAACAAATATACAATTTCTTTAAAAAAATGCATCAATTCTGTAGAACCTTTCAATACTACGAGTTACTGTTTTATTTTAAATATCAAACAAATCAAACAGTATGACAGTAAAAACAGCCGTCAATTCCTAAATCCATTAAGCCAATAATTTATTGATTTMATCGTGATTTTCTCTTGTTTTCTTTTGTATTTAGACATATTTGAGCCAGTAGATTTATTTTGCTGTTGTAAGTTGGTTTCTTTGTTTTAAGGTTTGCGCTGGCTGTTTCTGATTTTGTTTTTTGTTGATTGTATTGTATTGGTTTTGATGTGTTTTATTTGGTGTGTTTTGGGCCTCAGGAAGAGTGGTCTCTGCCTATGCAGAGACTAACGAGGACCCTTTTAAATAAATAAATCAAGGCACGCAAAAAACTATGCTGATAATATTTTTGCACCATCTACTTGTTTATGTTTAGATGWAAGATAATATTTGGAAGAAATTATTAGTATTATTAGTAGTATTTTAATATAATCCTCCCCAACAACAGTAGGAGAAAATAAAGAGTAAGAAAGCACAGCTTTGATCATAAGAACTGTTGTCACCTCACTGCATTAAAATCATTTAGAGGTTTGCAGATAAGCTCATTYAAGCCATCTGAAGGAAGCACAGCTCTATCTTATTCTGTCTTATTTGAAAGTTAAAAAAACTTACTAATAATTGCTTTGTTACACATTCCTGAGCAGCTTTAAAATTAAAATCAATGATTTTGCAGGACTTCTGATGTCCACCATCATCTAGAACAGTGTGTTCTAAAGTTGGGGTCGAGACCCACAATAGGGTCCCAAAACATCAAGGTGGGGTCCTGAAAAGATGTTCTGAATTAATTATATTAGAAAATAACAACTAATAACACTTTTTGCCTTCGTTGTTACAAATATGTAAGGTTAGTGTACTTAAAATGGACAAAAATAGCATAATGAATATTGTTACTATGCTCTTATTTTTTTGACGTGAAAACAAGGTTTATGATGCAACAACAGTTGGGGGCTCAGGTCTCTGCTGCTGGTATGAGGGTCAAAGGCTGAAAAGTTTGGGAACCAACCACTGATCTAGAAGGTATTTAATGTTTTATTATCAGTAATAGTAATGAAACTCCTACTATCATTACTTCTGTATTTTTTTTAATCTATTGTTTAGTTCTCAATAATGCAGTTTTACAAACTGCAAACACAAACATAATCTTTAATTTTCAAACAGTGACAGGTCAGAACAAGGCTGCATGGCTCACCTGATCACAAACACTGAATTTAGTGGGATGGCAGCTGAAAATTCATGTTTTCTGCAATTTACCAACTGATTTTTTCCATCAAGTAGTCTCAGTTGCAGCTCAGTGATATACAGTCTAATGTGTGTTTGTGTGTGTGTTTAGGGGGCGGGGTGGTGCAGTGCAGTGCTTAGCAGGGGGAATAAGTGCAAACACAAAACAAAGTTTGGTGCTAGTTGCTGAGACTGAACTGTATRTGAAGGAAGTAGTATTTGTTTTAGGCTGTCAGAGAATGAAGGAGAAGGATTAATCATTTTATGACAGTAAAGGAGCTCAGTCAAACATTGTGAACAACATCACATGCAGGTAGTTTCATGCGAGATCTTGTGAGATGTGTTTGCACTCAGAGTAGATGTTGGGATGACTTTCCGCTACTGTAACACCAAATATTAGACAGTTTGTTTAAAAACAAATGTCAATAATAGTCATTTGTTTTGTTTGATGTTGCTAATCTATGGTGAGCATCTCAAATTTTGTTGACTCCAAAATGTAATTAGTTATGGAGGTACAGCCAACAAAATGTTTCTGAGAATCTTAGTAAAACCCGTCAAATGATTCATGAGAAACTTTGCTAAAAACAACAGACAACTGAACACATCCACGGGCAAAACTTTGATTCTTTGGCATTGAGCTGAAGGTGATTACAGAGAGAAAAGACCAGCAGCAGCTAAGTGGGTGAGGATTCATAATWTCCTAATAATTTAGAAAGTTCAGGAAATGTACGACTGCTTCATGCCTACTTTAGACTGAGTGAGGACAACGTGACAGCTGGTGAAGGGTTGAGAAATCCAAACCTTTTTCTTTTTATGAATAAACCAACAAAAAAATAAATAAAAACTAGCGGACTCTTATTCTAAAGCTGAAAACGTTTCACTTCCCATCCAGGAGGCCTTCTCAATTCCAAAAGTCTGGAGYTTGTGGAGTTCCAAACATTACAGAATTTTATAAGAAACCTTGTTATATTTTTAGATTCACCTGGAACTCCTTGGCCCTCACAGTGGAGAGTTGTCAGGCCCTTTGTTAGCCTGGCTCACAGAGATGTTTCAGTCACATGAATRAAGGTGCTAATCAGAGTGAAACTGATAATCAAACCTAATGTTGTATTCTAAGCTTTTGAAAGTTGAAATCTAAGCCAGATGAGGGGATTCGGGCCTCTGGTAAGRCCCCTCCTTGCCCCTTCTATTATTTTTATAAATGAAATAAAAACCTTCCTGCTGTTAAATTTCAACCTTCTTACTGCACACACCGAACCTTCTGCACGAGCATGGAGGACACTTATTTGTTGCGTTCTGCTCAGCCCTGATCTGCATCCCTGTCATGCACCACTTGAACATGAACGGTTTTAGAAATGGAGTGAAGAAGAGGTTTGCCGATGAAGTCTGAACACTTGCCGTTTTTTAAACGTATTGRCAATCGATCATGCGTGCATACTTCACCAATTTAAACAGGCGTATCATTGGGTAGCTGAAACACGTGACTAGAAGCCTCCTGTCAATCAAAGAACTACAGGAAAACAGCTAATTCTCAGCTTGTGAGCTACTTTCTGGAAAACAGTCATAAGTACAGTGAAAACAATACATTTTGCACTCTTATTTTTACAGCCAGTTATAATCAAATATAAGTTATTTTTGGAGAAAGAAATGTGGATAAATTTATACTTCGTTTAATGAAGCTCCCATTAGCTGTAGCTTAATTAGGAATACATTCTGACCAGCCTGGTGTCTCAGAGCTGAATTATTAAAGACGTGCGTTTACCAGGTTCAACTGTTTTATACAGAGGAAGCTCTTTCCTTCATGAATGTGCGTGCTACAAAACACTAAATTAGCAGACTGGAGGAGCAGTTCAGGAGCTCGCTCACTCAGCTGAGGGAGAAAATCTAAATGACAGAAAATGCCTCCTCTGTGAGGCACAAATGATGCTGCACACTTCACACACATGAGGAACATTTGTACGTTTGCTGCACGCTCCCAGATTAACAATGGCTGAAAAACCTAATGTAAAAAAATGTGATTACGTTTGAGTGGAGCTGATGCAAACAGTGGACATCATGAATGCAGCTCATAATTTCAACAAGACATTAGGAATTCATTTATTACTTACACACAGCAAAAATAAATGCACCTCAGTTTTCCCAGAGTTTCACTTATTAAATAAATCTATGTGGGTCCTAATCAACATCTTTTTTATGTTCTGCTTGCGTAGGTTTTGCAAATATGAACAAAAAGATGCATAAGAATATTCTAATGGAAGAATAAATTACTTAGAAAGTAAATTGAAAAAAACGKTCCCATTTTTTAATTGTGGTTTGAAGGCTCAACAAAAGCCTCATCTCTTACAGTGATATTCAACCCAACCCTCTCCAGAGAAGGCCCAGTGCATTGAATCTTCAGTTTATAAGCTAAAAGTTGACATATAAACAGTTCAACACAAAGAATTAGCTCACAATTAAATCAAACCCACAGAAAACACGAGCCACGTCTTGCTACGGTTTGTAAACATCAAAGGATTGTGAAGGTCAGAGCTGTGCACGGCTCACTCTGTTGCCCGTTTTKTATTTCAAACACTCGAGAGACGACTTAAATACATCTTCGCAGGTCGCCTCCCATCTARGCCAAGCAACAGAGAGACCAGCTGCATCTGAATAAACAAGACTGTTAAAGATGTCCTGTCAGTGTGAAAGATTTATGATTGTGTCCTCCGAACACCTTGGCCTGCTTAAAGCAAAGACAGGTTRGGAATAAAAAGTAGCAAATTACTTTCATCCCTGCATTCTAATACCAGCATTGAATCGGCCATATCCTTGTGTTATTATCCCCAAGAGGGACACRCACTGCAGCTAACTTCCTATACCAAGGTAAGAAATGTTGTAATTGGAAAGAACAAACCAAAACAAAAAAAAAAAAGCTCAAAAGCTGTGACAAAGATTACTTCCAAACTTAACAGAGACTTGAAGTTCCAACACTCCTCAAGTGCTGCCTTTCATGCCCAAGTTTTAAATTGAGGCTAGGTAWATAGCAGGTCTTAATGCTCAATTCCAATTTTTTTTGCGCAGATCTGATATTTTTGTGTGGTCGTTCACATTAAACGCAAGTGCAGAAAAAAATGTGACGTCACACACTGSCCACTGTTCAAGGAAGTAAATATGGATGCTACACATTAGCATGTGTGTATCATTACTGAAGTTGTTGTTATGAAGTTRTAAAACCGATTAAACATGCTTGTTTGGTTCAGCATTTATATTTATTTTTGCCTCTTGATGGTCCCTCTGGCACAGCGTTATAGTTTTAAAATGGGAAATTATGTGCTGAAGGTAGAAACAAACTCAAATATCAACCCCATCAAAGTACTAATACTTTAGTATCAATACAGTCTGACACTAACGTTAGTATCATACGTTGCTGTGGATTCTTAGTCATTCAGGTCATGGCAAATTTAAAACAAGATGAAGCAACTTCACTTGTTTTATAGCTGAAATGCTGCAGAGTTGTTGAACATTGTTGATATGATCTGTATACCCCATCCTCAATGACATAAAAGGTGGAGGAAGTGTGACATGACTGACWGTCAATATGAATCGAATAGAAACAGCCTTTATTGTCCCGCGGAGGGGAAATTCTGGTGTAACAGCAGCAGCATCAGCACACAAAAAAACAAAATAATGCTATGCACCAATAGCAATAGTACTACTAAATGTATCYGATTTAGTACCACACAGGAAAAGGACCTGGGTCAGATTTGAAAAGAAAAAAAAAACTGATTTGTTGTGTTCAGACTGTTGTGAAACATCTGACGTGTTGTATTTGCCTGCAGTGTGAATGTAGCCAAAGATGAGCTTTTAATGAGAAAGTTGGAGTTATAGTTGTTTGTGTTGATGTACATGTTGAAGATAACTCTATCCTACCACCACAGTTAATGTATAACCATTCTTGTGTTGTAGATGTACACCAAACGGTTACTCTCTGAAAATAATTAGTGCTTGGCGTATATGTTGGGGGTGACAATCAACTACAAATGCTTCAAATAGCTCAATTTATATAAAATTGACTTGAGAGGGATTTCAATGTCAATATTTATGAGGYCTGGTTACAAAATATATGCTTATTTGCCTAATTTAAACGTGATTAAGGATCTGGGAAAGAAAATGAGCTTTATGGTCCACATTCTCTGAACACTTTAGAGGCTCTTATTCTCATTCAGCTGTGGCTCAGTGGTTAGAGCAGTCACCCTTCAATAGCTACGTTTACATGGACATAAGTAATCGGATTAAACGSCCATTCGGAMTAAAAATGTGTCATGTAAACACCCCATTCAGATTATTCTGACCCAATTCAGCTCGATCCGAATGAATTTGTAATCTGAATGARAGAGGTGGTTTATGCTGATTGYGGAAAACTGRCCTGACTGTTCATGTCTTCTGACATTTATCCATCGGTTTCTGCTCTTTTGTGCAGGGTRGGACAGCAGCGCTGTAGTTTTCAGCAGCACARAAATTTTCCTCCCGTTTTCTCATTCARTAAAARAAGGAAGACAAACAGCCTGCGCCGCTTYGCAAAAAAAAGTATTTGCGTCACCTGTAGCTCAACCAGAGTGCAGCAATGTCTCCACCATGATTAAAAGCTGTCACAGGTCCATTCTGAGCTCAGAAGCTGTTTGATTATGTTCATGATGAAAGTAGAACTTTTTTCTATGTTTTTCTTTTTTAGGGAAAGTTGGCAACTGCGCATGTCAGTGCTTCTACTCTGAATAAAAGCCGGGTGGCATGTAAACACTCGTTACGAACGGATTGTGCGCATGTAAATAAACGCATGTATGCATTATTTAATCTGACTACATTTCAATCCAATCAAAGAATTTTGTGCATGTAAACATAGCTAATGATAGAGTTGGAGGACCAATTCCAGCAGCATGCCAACAAACATGTCCCTGGGCAGGAAGCTGACCACCTCGTTGTCTCTGAAGTGCCTGATCGGTGTATGAATGTGATCTGAAGCACTGATTAGACTCTATATTATTATTTTTYAAATCAGCTTTGTAGAGCTGTAGTAGAGTGCTGTATGAATGTGTATGTGTGTTGGTAAATGAAGAAACACACTGGGCTGTGAAGGGCTTCACATAGCCTGGTGGGGTAGAAAGGCGCTAAATAAGTACAGTTCATCAAAGCTCTATGTGTAAATATGAGTCCAGCTTACTTGGCAGCAGTGAATCCAGACCTACTGATCCGACTCAGAATAACACAAACACACCCAGGCTGATTGTTTATGTGCAACAGTGCACTGATTTAAATGCAGGTCAGAAACACTTTAACAAAGTTGTGGGTAAAACTTATTTCAAAGGTACTGTGCATACGCTGGCTTTAGTAAGAACACAGAACTGTTTTAGYTGATCCCCTGGTGTGTGTGTGCCACAACATTCGTTCACCCTGCAGAGTGAATAAATAATAAATCATCTTGAATCAGAACCRGTTAGGGGGAGTAGAACCTGTCAAAGAGCTCGTGTTTGAATGGTCTCAAATATTAAAGAAAAAGGAGATGAGGAGCTTCAGGTTTTGTGGTTTGCAAGAAATATATCAAAATCCTATTATGGGCTCAYTTTCATTTCATTCCTTTTTATATTCCAACCACAGAAGCAGAAGGGCTTCCATCATTTTAAACCCTGTTATTAAATCCAACACAAACCCTTCTTCATTTGAAGTCTATTGCACTCTGTTGTGGAGCAGCAGGAGGTGTGGCACAGCTACTGACCTCTCCTGGGGGACGGCAAACCAGTACTCGTTTTTCTTGCCCAGCTGGGCGTACTGTTGCATGGAGGCGCTGGCGTTGGAAACAAAAGTCTTCTTCATGGGCTTCCCCACTCGCAAGCACAGGAACTTGTGGGAGCGATGCTTCCTCTTTTCAGCAGAGCCTGTAACTGATGCAAACACAAAGTCACATGTTCACAGAAGCAAACGAGCTCACAGACAGAAGTACAGTAAGTCACCTGTCAGTAAACTGTCAGAGTAATCAGAATCCAAACCATGAACTCGCTCAAACTACAATCCTGAGTCTGTCTGTTAAGTGTGTACATGATTGTGATGAGGTGAAAGGTCAGTTTCACTGATAATGTCAATGGCCATGGTGTAAATCAGAAAACAGTTCCTCTTGAGCCCCAAGCCCCGGGTACCAGGGGCAAAGCAGCATTTCTCGTTTTCTATATCTTTTAACTTAGGATCTGTAAGTTGAACCTTGACATGTTTGGTATCAAAAGAAAACTAATAATCTTGGCTAAAAGTCAATTTACATCCATCAAACGCAGTTCAAATCACAGGCAGTTGAATCAGAAAGTAAACGAACTGTACAAAATGGGATTGTTGCAAATCTGTAAATACACTGCAACAAATCTGTAAAGGAAACAATTTTGACATTTGTTTTTAAAGTAAGTAAAAGCAGATAGCAAACCAGGTTATAAAGTGTACTGAATGTTTTTTTTAAATTGATTTTGAGCTAATATGATCCAACTGAAGTCAAACATAATTTCTCATTATTTTATATAATATATATGATGACAAATCAATGTTTGGATAATTTTTCAAAAGAGCAAACATTCAATAACAAGTC